GAGTTCTGTAGATGTCTATTAGGTCTGCTTGGTGCAGAGCTGAGTTCAAGTCCTGGATATCCTTGTTAACCTTCTGTCTCGTTGATCTGTCTAATGTTGACAATGGGGTTTTAAAGTCTCCCATTAGTATCATGTGGGAGTCTAAGTCTCTTCGTAGGTCTCTAAGGACTTGCTTTATGAATCTGGGTGCTCCTGTATTGGGTACATATATATTTAGGATAGTTAGTTCTTCTTGTTGAATTGATCCCTTCACCGTTATGTAATGGCTTTCTTTGTCTCTTTTGATCTTTGTTGGTTTAAAGTCTGTTTTATCAGAGGCTAGGATTGCAACCCCTGACTTTTTTTGCTTTCCATTTGCTTGGTAGATCTTCCTCCATCCCTTTATTTTGAGCCTATGTGTGTCTCTGCGTGTGAGATGGGTCTCCTGAATACAGCACACTGATGGGTTTTGACTCTTTATCCAATTTGCCAGTTTGTGTCTTTTAATTGGGGCATTCAGCCCATTTTCATTTAAGGTTAATATTGTTATGTGTGAATTTGATCCTGTCATTATTATGTTAGCTGATTATTTTGCCCATTAATTGATGCAGTTTCTTCATAACATTGATGGTCTTTACAATTTGGCATGTTTTTGCAGTGGCTGGTACTGATTGTTTCTTTCCATGTTTAGTGCTTTCTTCAGGAGCTCTTGTAAGGCAGGCCTGGTGGTGACAAAATCTCTCAGCATTTGCTTGTCTGTAATGGATTTTATTTCTTTTTCACTTATGAAGCTTAGTTTGGCTGGATATGAAATTCTGGGTTGAAAATTCTTTTCTTTAAAAATGTTGAATATTTGCCCCAACTCTCTTTCTGGCTTGTAGGGTTTCTGTCGAGAGATCTGCTGTTAGTCTCACGGGCTTTCCTTTGTGGGTAACTTGACCTTTCTCTCTGGCTGCCCTTAACATTTTTTCCTTCATTTCAACCTTGGTGAATCTGACAATTATGTATCTTGGGGTTGTTCTTCTCCAGTAGTATCTTTGTGGTGTTCTCTGCATTTCCTGAATTTGAATGTTGGCCTGACTTGCTAGGTGGCGGAAGTTCTCCTGGATAATATCCTGAAGAGTGTTTTCCAACTTGGTTTCATTCTCCCTGTCACTTTCAGGTACACCAATACAATGTAGATTTGGTCTTTTCACATAGTCACATATTTCTTGGAGGCTTTGTTTGTTTTTTTTTACTCTTTTTTATCTAATCTTGTCTTCTTACTTTATTTCATTAATTTGATCTTCAATCACTGATATCCTTTCTTCCACTTGATCGAATTGTCTACTGAAGCTTGTGCATGCATCATGAAGTTCTCGTGCCATGGTTTTCAGCTCTGTCAGGTCGTTTAAGATCTTCTCTACACTGTTTATCCTAGTTAGCCATTCGTCTAACCTTTTTTCCTCCCAAAGGGTTCGAACATGTTCCTTTAGCTTGGAGAAGTTTGTTATTACTGACCTTCTGAGGCCTACTTCTGTCAAGTCGTCAAAGTCATTCTCTGTCCAGCTTTGTTCTGTTGCTGGCGAGGAGCTGCAATCCTTTGGAGGAGAAGAGGAGCTCTGATTTTAGAATTTTCAGCTTTTCTTCTCTGGTTTATCCCCATCTTTGTGGTTTTATCTACCTTTGGTCTTTGATGTTGGTGACCTACAGATGGGGTTGTGGTGTGGATGTCCTTTTTGTTGATGTTGATGGTATTCCTTTCTGTTTGTTAATTTTCCTTCTAACAGTCAGGTCCCTCAGCTGCAGGTCTGTTGGAGTTTGCTGGAGGTCTACTCCAGACCCTGTTTGCCTGGGTATCACCAACGGAGGCTGCAGAATAGCAAATATTGCAGAACAGCAAATATTGATGCCTGATCCTTCCCCTGGAAGCTTCGTCCCAGAGGGACACCTGCTTATATGAGGTGTCTGTCAGGCCCTACTGGGAGGTGTCTCCCAGTTAGGCTACTCGGGGGTCAGGGACCCACTTGAGCAGGCAGTCTGTCCATTCTCAGAGCTAAAATGCCATGTTGGGAGAACCTGCTGTCTTCAGGGCTGTGAGACAGGGACATTTGAGTCTGCAGAAGTTGTTTGCTGCCTTTTGTTTAGCTAAGCCTTGCCCACAAAGGTTGAGTCTAGAGGCAGTAGGCCTTGCTGAGCTGTGGTGGGCTCTGCCCAGTTTGAGCTTCCCCGGCTGCTTTGTTTACCTACTCAAGCCTCAGCAATGGTGCAGGCCCCTCCCCCAGCCAGGCTGCTGCCTTGCAATTCGATCTGAGACTGCTGCACTAGCAGTGAGCAACTATCCGGTCTCTGTGGGTGTGGGACCCACTGAGCCAGGCACGGGAGAGAATTTCTTTGTCTGCCAGTTGCTAAGACCTTGGGAAAAGCACAGTATTTGGGCAGAGTGTCCCGTTTTTCTAGGTACAGTCTGTCACAGCTTCCCTTGGCTAGGAAAGGGAAATCCCCTGACCCCTTGTGCTTCCTGGGTGAGGTGATGCCCCGGCTTGCCCTCTGTGGTTACACCCACTGTCCAACCAGTCCCAATGAGATGAATTGGGTACATCAGTTGGAAATGCAGAAATCACCCGTCTTCTGCCTTTATCACGCTGGGAGCTGCAGACTGGAGCTGTTCCTTTTCGGCTATCTTGGAACGGATCCTGATTTTATATTCTTATAAAACTATCTGGTGATTCTGTGCAGAATATACTAAGGTTATATTGATTGGCTCATATCCTCTAACATCCTTATATCCTGTAATATTGATGTGAGTCAATCAATATAACCTTAGTATATTCTGCAGAGTTAGAATCACCAGATAGTTTTAAAAGTTACTGCTGCATAGGTTCCATAACCAAAGATTCTGACTCAAATGATATGGAGTTGGGCCTGGACATCAGTATTTTGTGATAGCTTCCCAAGTGATTTTAATGAGTACCAGGATTGAGACCTACCCTAACATAAAACATAAAGATAGTACAAATGAGGGAAAATAATAGCTCAATCACTTAATCTCACTTATGAATATAGTTGCAAAAATAAAATATCCATATATAGAATTCACCTGTCATCAAAAATAATGACTTCTACTAAATAGACAATTTCAGAAACACATGAATGACTCCCTCACAGAAAATGTATGCACATAATTTATTACATTACAGTTCTGGTAGAGAAAACCCATAGGAACATATCAATAGATGCTGAAATTTTAACAACCAAATAAAACCTTTTAATAGGAATGGAAAAGAATTACTGAGATGTGCTAAGGTCTGCTTGGTGGATATTAATAATGTTTACTCGTATCTGCTTTCTGTTTTCTTCCAGGCATTCAGGCAGTTATATTTCCCAGTCCCCTTGCGGTTTTCTGGGTGGAGTCTGTGAGTCGTTTCGGTTAACGGGCTGGGGATGGAAGACGTGCGTCACTACTGTGCCAAAGCACTGAAGAGTCGGGGTATGAGAATGCCATACACTCTCTTCCTCTACTGTGGTGACCCAGAAGGCTTTCTGTTGTGATGGCAGTGCCATGGGATGGAAAGCCTACTTTCTATCACTTCCTGGAGGTGTGTCCAAAACCACAGCTGGCTTTCTGGGAGTGAGAAATAAATGTGTAAAACCACTGAGATTTCAGAGTAGTTTGATATCACAGTATGACCTGCCTTGACCAGGAGTTGTAGGAAAACTTTTCCTACAAAGGGCCGGATATTTTAGATTTTACAAGTCATATGGTCTCTGTCACAAGTACCAACATTTTTCCATTGTAGCAGAAAGCCATAGATAATATATAAATGAAAGAGCATGGCTGTGTTCCAATGAAATTTTGTTAACAAAAATGGGTGGTAGATTTGGCCCATGGACCATCATTTGCAGACCTCTGCTCTTGACAAATACTTTTGTATACTCAGATTTTATTACAAATATAATTCAAAATGATAAAATCCTAAAACCTTTTCAGCTAAAAGTAGGAACAAGCAGGGTTGTCCACTATTGCCACTTAATGACACTATTTTAGAGGGTCTAACTAGTACAATATGATAAGACATTTAAGCAATTGGTATAAATGTGGGCAAAAGGCTGATTGTGGTGGTTCACACCTGTAATCCCAGCACTTTGGGAGGCTGAGGCAGGTGGATCATGAGGTCAGGAGTTCAAGACCAGCCTGGCCAAGATGGTGAAACCCCCGTCTCTACTGAAAATACAAATAATTAGCCAGATGTGGTGGCGGGTGCCTGTAATCCCAGCTACTCAGGAGGCTGGGACAGAGAATTGCTTGAACCTGGGAGGTGGAGGGTGCAGTGAGCTGAGATTGCACCATTGCACTCCAGCTGGGGTGACACAGACTCCATCTAAAAAAAAAAAAAAAGGCAAAACAGTTTTTCTGATAACATAATTAAATACCCAGAAAATCCAAGAAACACTAGTAAAAACGACTAAGATTTATGTGACAATATGGTAAGATGACTGAATATAATAGACACACAATAGTCAATAACCTTGCTGTGCGTGCGTGTGCACATGTGTTAATAAATCCCCTGTATATTCCCAGTAGCAGTATTCTACACAGTGAAATGGGAAGTATTCACAATAGCAGTAAAAAATTACACAGTAATTAGGAGTAAATTTAACAAGAAAGATATATCATGTAAGGCATAACAGAACTGAACAAATGCGAAGACATCTGCTGACTCTGATTCTGGTTGGGGGGAGCTGCACAGCCACATTAGGAAGGGCGGAGAATTGGGACCACTTTGGATCCACCTACCGCATCGGGATAATCAGCTTCGAAGGCCCCATAACCAAGCATGACTGTGTTACCAGCGTCGGATGCCTCAGTTTGGTGTTGAGGTAGTATGTGCAGTGGAATAAAAGTGAAACGTATTGTACATATCATGGTCAAGGTTTCATAGAGTAAAACCACTTGAGAGTCGAATGTGTAGGTAAGAGAAGGATAAGAGAAGTAACATAGGTCATTTTGCGGGTTCTACAATTTTCAATGAGCACAGAGGTATTTTTCTAGTTAATGATGTAACAGAGAACAAGGACACTGGGACCTGGAGCTGCCCTCTACGGTGTGGCTTGTTAGGCCATGACAGGTTGCACGTCCTTAAGTGCTGTTATAGCCTCAGTGTCATCGCCTTTCCAACATTCTGAATGACTGTCACACAAGTAAGAAAGCATTCTCTATCAGCCCCACTGTGAATGAGGAAAGAACCCTGGGGCTGGGAGGCCTGAGGCAGGCAGGGCCTGCTGGTGAGCCTGCGTCCTTCACGCACCTCCTGTCCCAGAGGCTCAGACCACTGCTGTCACTGGCAGATAATAATAGGACATAAACTCACCTCTTATTAGGTCTCCAACTGATCCCTTAATAAGCCATCCAGAATGTGCACCCAGATGCTTTTATGAGAAAATTCATTAGGTTGCTCTGTACAAAAGAAGCATGTGCTGAAAGTTGATGAGACTTCTGGGGTCCCTAATAACCAGTCTTCCTGCCGTTGTTACTAAATGTCGCCAGTTGTCTTTCATTTTTTTCTGGTGGCACTAGTGCTTAATTGAAACCCATCAATCAGTTCTATCAACTTGTCAGAATGTGTGGAGCTGGGACTGTGCTCAGCACCAGGCTTAGCGTCTTTGAGATGACAGAAAATGTATGTGACACAGTCACTACCTTCAAAGAATCGGAAGCCTATCTGGGAGCAGTGAAGTGAACACTCAGGGCATAGTTATGGGAGAAATCAGGCTGTGCAGGGCTGAGCTCAGGAGATCATGGGCTCTGGAAAGGAGAGATCCATGTGGGCTGGAGCAAGAGGCGAGGTGAGCCCGGCCTGAGATGACCAGTGGGGTTTAGATATGTGGAAGGGAGAAGGGAGGGCATTCTCGGGGTGGGTCAGGGCCTGGGGAAATATAAGAAGGTGGGATTCAGGTTGGTGTAAGTTGGGGACAGTGAGGGTCTCAGGCCATCAGAGGGTGGGCTTTGGAGCGTGTAAGGGACAGGGAGGAGCTGGGGGTGAGTTGTGTGCAGTGCCACGGGACCTCCTGATGCGGCACGCAAAGCCCCACTGTTCTCATCCACGTTCAAACCTGCTGTTGGGCGGGCGTGCCATGAGCTGGGAGGAGCAGGAGCTGAGGGTGCTAAGGGCACCGTGTGGAGCAGTTCTCACTGCAGAGCTGGTCAGGGAGTGTCTGGATGGTTTGGGGCAACTTCCTGAATCTCTCTCCCTTGGTTTTTCTCATTTATAAAATGGGAGTAATGACAGGTTGCTGGAAGTGTAAGTATTTAACACATGGACTGAAATGTGTGTGCAATATATATGCATATCTAATATATATGATTATATTATTTAATGATTTGCAAGTATATATTTATGATGCACAGTTTATAATAATTTATAAGTCTATATTTCTATTGCACAATTTATAATGTAATTTACATTCATAAAATTATATTTGTATATGATATAGAAGTAGATGTATCATTATTTATGAAAATCATAATACACATTTTAATGACCCCCAAATTCATGGGCTTGTCCCTGGTTCCTTTTACTTATGAAACCTCTACCTGGAAAGAAAAAAATGGGTGAGGATTTATCTCCAGGTAGATAGGAAAAAATAAATCATACTGTGTAGTGTGCTGCAGCTTTTAGTGCCTGTAAATTATCTTTGTTTTATCTTTATTTCACAGACAAGGCCACTGAGGCACATGGAAGTGAGTGGGCTCCCCCAGCCCTGACCCAGTCAAGACCAGAACCAGGTCCCAGCCTGTCTCTGTGCTCCAAGGTACCATGATGCTTGGGGGGGGCCAGCATAATTCGAAATAGACTCTTTTCCTCATAATCTCAGGCCATGACCACATACTTTCGGCTTCGTTTTTTTGGCAAGATTCTTTTTGTGAGCTTGTGCCTAGATAATGAGGACCCGTGAGGAGTGCCGGCCGGCATACGGTCACTGCCACGTGGGCCGCAGGCCAGAGACACCTCCCGTCTCCTAGGAACGGATTCCAGTGGCCCTGGTCACTGGCCAGCACGCCTATGGGGGAGACACGAACCCCCTTCACCTACACGGAACCAGCACCCTCTTTGCATTGCATATTTTGTATAAAAAGAGCTCCAATGTGGGAGCATTTCCTTTTTTTGTCTAGAATTGTCCGGATTGTTGACACCGTCATTACGTGGACCGAGTTAATTACATTCAAAGTTGCTTTTGTCCTAAGTGAGCGTTATTTCTGTGACTTTTTACACACAGCTTCCTGAACACAGGGAAGAAAATATTAGCCTGGATCTCATCTTCAGCTCATCATCTTTACAAAGAAGGTACCAGCTGTTTGTGAACCCGCAGGGCATTAAATGCGCAGGAGCCTTGGGCGGGAGCATGGAGACAGAAATCCACAGGTTCCACCCAGGCTTTCTGAGCAAACAAAACCAGGGAAGGCAAACACAGGCCTTTTGTCCTGACCCCATGGTTCTAGCCAAGTGCTGTTTCGCTAGGGTTGACCTCACAGAGCCGAAGAGTGTGGCGTGAATTGCCAAGTTGACTGGGGCCATCCTGTGTGCCAGGGGGTACTCGGCCCTCCTCCCACGGCCAGTCTGCCTCTCACCTTCACACCCTGCCTCGCGGCCCAGGGGCCTTGGTGCAGGAGGGTGAGGGAGACATCGGCAGGCTCCATCTCCCAGCAACAGCGTCGCTTTGAGGGGTGGTTTCGGAGCCCGCTCAGCCAAGATCAGTCATAGCTTCCTCCTTCTCCTCCCCCGCAGACCTAGATAGGTTTATTTTCTACATGTAAGTTATTGAAAATAGTCAAAGGCTCATCAAGAGTTTGAAGAAATTCTTTCTTATGAACTCTTGTCCTTTTAATTGGCAGGAAGTAAATTCATGTAAAACAGTTTTGTGATCGCACGAGCAGATAGGAGCGATCAGAAAATGTGCTCATCCTCATCTCCCAGCTCGACTTTCATATTACGGGGAAGTCCTCCATCCTTCTGTCAACACTTTCTTTATTCCTGCTTCAAATCCTGGCTGCTTATTTGATCCGATGAAACTCTTCTTTGCCTGCGTCTGCTCTAACCCCAGAGATGTGCAATCATATCAAATGGATTCATGTGTGGCTCTCTTGCTGCTGTGCCTAAGCCTGACATTTTGGGCCACATGCACTGGAGATGCAGGACAGGCTTCTAAACCACGTGAGCGGAGAGTGTGGACACACGGTGCGCCTTTATCTCCGTCCCAGGGTTCACAAGATCAATCACAATATTGTTCCGGCTGAACCTGGGAGGAAAAGTCATGAAACCCAATCCATGCCCCGTCCTCCCAGGGAATTCAGGAAGCAAACTGCAGTCAAAGATTGGATGAGCGAGGACTGGAAGGAGAATTGCCCCTGGAAACCAGTCTGCAGGCGGCTTCCTTTTCTCCTGAAACATGCCTTTTATTTGGCTTTTGAGTTGCGGTCTCACTCTGTCAACCGGGCCGGGAGGCAGTGGCATCCCGAGTTGCTTGGATTACAGGTGTGAGCCACTGGCTCTCGGGTCCAAAACATGCCCTTTATTTTTATTATTTACTTATTTATTATTTATTTTTGGAGACAGGGTCTTGCTCTGTCACCCAGGCTAGAGTGCAATGGCGCTACCGTAGCTCACTGCAGCCTTGAACTCTTGGGCTCAAGCAATCCTATTGCTCCAGCCTCCTGCGTAGCCGGGACCACAGGCACATGCCACCACACCCAGCTAATTTTTTTATTTTTCTGTAGGGACAAGTTCTCTCTATCTTGCCCAGGCTGGTTTTGAACTCTTAGGCTCAAGTGATTCTCACACCTCAGCCTCCCACAGTGCTGGCATTATAGGCATGAGCCACATGCCCAGCCTGAAGCATGCCTTTCAAATGGGAGTTCGTGATTTTGTAATACCCTGAAATAGTTGACAGGCCTCTTAAAGCTGGTCCTGTTGTGAGGTGGATCTGAGGGGAGCAAGGGGAGAGCTTCAGTTTGTCCTCTGGAAAGAGTGAGGCAGAGCCCACCTGAACTCCAGGGGCAAAGTGGGTGGCTGGGGCTCCTCCCTGGGGAGGCTGAGCACCGTGGACTTGGCTGGGAGCCCGGAATTTAGGTTTCCTGTATTTTCTTTAGAACAAGCTTCCCCAATTTGGTTTAGAAAGTTGCCTTTCTACAATGGAAGAGTTTCCAGCAGTCTCTTCCCAAGTGTCCAGGGCATGCCTGTTACCGCAGCTTTTCCATCAGAAGTGTTGGAGGGTCCCGAGTTGTCTGCACCGTTCAAAGGAGAATAGTATTTATTTAGCATTTACTAAGTGCCAGGCATGACTCTAAACACTTCCTGTAGATATTAACCCATTGAATCTGCATAACAACCCTATGGGGTAGCTATTCTCTTTTATCCAAATTTTACAAATGGGGAAACTGAGGCACAGGGCGGTGATGTAATTTGCTTACTGACACAAGTGTGAGATGAGACATTGGCCATTATAGATCTTTTCATGGTGACGTTTTGAGCCAAGCTGCCAATAAGACAACCGTGTCCGGCCCCCTAAGTTCCTGCCTCCGCTCCTGCCGGTCTGGGGTGGTTGTGCTTCCTTTTATATTGTCCATTTCAGGGATCCTTTTAGTCAACTGTTTAATTTCACCTCAGGGTGGTCTCTTTTTCTTCAAAATGGAGTTGGTTCCAGGGTAATGCGTAGGGGAGTCCTCGCCACCGTGGAGGGGCTGCCCTGCAGGGGCACTGGGCCCATCTGAACAGAAGGTTATTCATTCTTCCTCAGAAGCGGCACGCGGGCCTTCCTGAAGTGCTCATTCATCTTCAGGGAAGGTGGGTGAGAAGGGCACGGTCAGCCCAGTCTCATTTTATGTCTGCTCAGTTCGTAGGCTGTGCATCCCTCAAACATCCTGAGATCCTAGGAAGTCATAGAGCCAATCAGCCTGTTGTCACTCAGTTTCTTCAAATATGGAATACCATCAGGCTCATGGGTTGGGAGAAATATACGGCCGAAGCCCCAATAAGCACTTTAAAAAAGCAAGAGCTCTTGCGAGCCTTCCTGCAGGATGGACCCTGGCGGTGCTGAAGGGTAAACTGAGGCTGATGGCTGGGGAGTGTTTGGGATGGTGTTGCCTGGGGACGCTGCCTTCCCCACCCAGCCGTTGTCTGTCTAGGGCTGCCCTGAACAGGCATGTTTCGTGTTAGGAGCTCCACAAATACACATAACTGCCGAATAAATGATTCAAATAATGAAATCTATCAGGTTTGTACGGGAGCTTAACCGGTGCCCAGCCCAGGGCAGCCTCCTGGTTGTACTCCCCGAGTGCCCGTCTGCCCCTGGAGAGTGTCTTACCTTCCTCACCGCCTAGGCCCTGGCTTCCTAGAGGATGGGAGGGCAGCTCCTTCACTGAAGGGAATGCCTTCCTTTAAGTGATGTAGCTATTTCTAGACTGTTCTCAGATCTTTGGTTTTCTCTGCTCCCTTCTCACACACACAGGGAAAGCAGAACCTGCTGGGGAGAACTGGGAACTTTCAGGGCCAGCGTTCCTGTGTCTAGCCTGCCTTCCTCCCTCCCCAGCCTCCTCCTCATCCCAGGCTCCTGGTGCTCCCGGCTGCTCCCCGCTCGCCTCCACAGACACTTCTCTGGGACCATTTCTTCTCCGCCTGTGTCTCTCCGCTCTTTCTATGCACTCGCTCTTTCTATGTTCGCAGGTGTCTTTCATAGGTTCAAAAAGAGAATTCCCCTGACCTACGTTCCCACGTCGCCTCTCCTCTTTATGGTCTCCGTGTGCTGGTTTGTCCCCTCCTCCTCTCCTCTCCCTTATTCACAGATTCTGTCACCCCCAACACAGCTCTCAGCAAGGCCACTGAGGACCTCCTCGTGGCTCTGGGACCAATGACTCCTAGCGGCACGTGACGCTGCTGACCTCCTTGTTCTGGAAACATTTTCTCAGCCTCGATGCCGCTGCAGATCCTCTTCTGTTTTCTCCTCCCACGGGAGGTGCCCCTGCACCACCTTCGCCAGCCTTCTTCGGCTCTGCCTGAGCTTCTTTGGTCCTGGCTCCTCTTCCCTTCTCAGCCTCCCTGCCCCGTGATCGGCAGGATCTCTTCCCAGGGCTTGGAGCCCCGCTGTGTCCTCTGACAACTCAGGTCTAAGTGTCCTGCCAGTTGTCTCCCTGAGCGCCTCACACCTGCAGCTCCCCCTGGATGTGCGTGGATGCCTCAGACTCAGCAGGTCCACAACAGGGCTCCAGCTTCTCACACCTATGCTCCTTTCTGTGTCCTGTCTCAGGTGAACGGGACCATTCTCTACCCAGTGGCCCTATCCAGAACTTGGAGGGTCTCCCTTGACTTTCCCAGCTTTCTTACCCCGCATTTTGACACCATGCAATGAATCACAAAGTCCTGTGAATTCTCCCAAATGCATCCTGTCTGTCCCCGTGTCCCTTCCCCCTGAGATCCCCACATCCAGGCCACCGCCAGTTCTTGTCCAGTCGCCGCACCTCCTCCTAGGTCTGTCTGTCTTAAAATTACTATGTTTTCAATCCATTATCCAGACTAAAGCTGGGGTGATCTTTTCAAAATGCACATATAAGTCACCCCCGATGAAAATTTCCGAAAGATTCCATGTATTTGGGATGAAGTCTGAACTTCTTAACTTAGGTGAATCTTCATGACCTGGACCCTACCTCCTTCTACTCCCATCTCCTGTCCTGCTCATCCGTGGCAGGTTTTTACCTTCCTGAAAAAATAAAATGTGGGGCCATCTACGTCTCCTCTGTGTGACTTGGCCAGCCACACACA